AAGTGGTTGCTAAGCAATTCAACTTCGATGCGGTTTGATTGGTCGTCTTCACTCAACAACCAATCCACGAATGGTTAAAGCTAGCCTTTCTGAAAAATGTGTGGTTAAAGACAAGTCTACACATTTATATGAGAGTTCATAGTCATGTGCAATTTAGAAAAGAAAATAAAAAAAGTACAAATAGTACACATTAATGTGTATTTGGGAGGGAAAGATTAGGTACACACTTAAAGCTAGCCACCCAAATAAAATAAAATCTGAGAGAATATGAATAATTAAATTTCGAATTCCCACATACTTCTCGAAGTGGTGGCTAAGCAATTGAACTTCGACGCGGTTTGATTTGTCGTCTCCACTCAGCCACCAATCCATGAAATGTTAAAGCTAGCCATTCTAAAAATGTGTGGTTAAAGACAAGTCTACACATTTATATGAGGGCTCATAGTCAAGTCTAATTTAGAAAAGAAAAATTAAAAAATAAAATAAAATCTGAGAGATTATGGATAATAGAATTTCAAATTATATCAAGAGGCACCCAAATACTTCTCGAAGTGGTGGCTAAGCAATTGAACTTCGACGCAGTTTGATTTGTGTCTCTGCTCAGCCACCAATTCACGAAATGTTAAAGCTAGTCCTTCTGAAAAGTGTGTGGTTAAAGACAAATCTACACATTTATGTGATGGTTCATAGTCAAGTCTAATTTAGAAAAGAAAAGGTAAATATTAAAAAATAAAATAATATAAAACAAAATCTGAGAGAATCTGAATATATAGAATTTCCAATTATATCAACACCACCCAAATACTTCTCCAAGTGGTGGCTTAGAAATTGAATGTTTGACGCGGTTTGATTTGTGGTCTCTACTTAGCAACCATTCCACGGAGAGTAATGTTAAAAATTTTTAAAAATTTATCAGAATTTTTAAGGTTTTTATCATTTTTCATCTAGGAAATGTTAAAGCTAACCCTTTAGAAAAATGTGTGGTTAAAGACAAATCTACACATTGAAGTCAAGTCTACTATAGAAAACAATGCAGAATCTCACTCAAGTCTACTATTGAAAAGAAAAATCAAAAAATAAAAAATAAAATAAAATTTGCACAAGCAAATTCATTGGACGTTAGTTAAATATATATTATTTCTTTAAAATTTAAAATATATCTATAATGGGTTTTATAAATTTGGCATAATTATATTGAGTTTTTTTAAGATTTTAATTCATATATTTGGAATGATCTAAATAAGTATGCTTTTTAATTTTTTATGAAAAAATATGCAAAAAAGTAGAGATGTGATGTGACTCGAAAAAGAATAATAATAAAAAAAAGTGTGTGCTAATATAGGGGATGCCAAATTAAGGCTTAAACCTATTTTAATTATAAATCCGTAAGTCATATGAATGGAAAAATAATGTTATATATCATTATCTCTTTTACATTGAAATGTAAGACTATAGTTGACCTTATCCAGTAGCGGAGCCAAAAAATTAAATTAGAGGGGACATTTATTAATTACAATATAAAAAAATTTTACAAAAATATTTCACGCAAGTTTTTACGATTGATTTCGAGAAATATCAAAAAAAAAAATAATGTTATTTGTAACTAGTGTATCATGGATAATATAAAAAAAAATATGGATATAAGTCTTAAATAAATTATATAATGACAATTTTTTTTTAATGCAAAATTTGATTAAAAATTTAATATAATGATAATATCACGTCATCATTGATATGTGATATTACTAACTAATAGTACATAAACATATAGAGAGTGAACCTCACATGTCAAATATAATTAACAATTCAATAAATTTCATATATTTATAGTGAGATTACTTATACTTGCATGTCAATAATAATGACATCACCGTTACATTCAAAAATTTTCATAGATAATATGGTTTATAGTAGTATTTTCATTTTCAATTAAAACAACAATTATTGTTCTCATAATTTTTAAAATATCATTGACATTTCACTCTAATAATATTTTTTGTAATTTTTTTAATTTAAAATATTTTCTTTATATTTATAAAAAAAAATTTAAAAATCCCAAAATCCAAGGGGGCACATGACCCCTTTGGCTTTCACTCCCTCCGCCACTGACCTTATCCATCTTGGGTAAATTATTAGGTCGTAATAGTTGGATTTAATTTGTCGATGAAAGTTAATTTTATCAGAATCATCGCTAAAGCAAAAATTTGTGATGCTTTTATGAATCTATTACTAAAAACTGACAATTAGTGACTTAATCTGTGAACCTTTTTTATAAACTATCTTTAAAACTTATAATTAGTGACGTTTTATGTAACAAAATTTTCAAACTATCACTGAAAACTAACAATTAATGATGTTTTTGTCTGTGTTTGATAAAAAAACGCGACTAATTATTACATGACCTATTGATTAATAAATATACCTATTGCAACCTGCACCCCTTTATCTTATTGATTTTACTTAATCTGCATTAGTGTTTGTCCATTTACACTTAGTAAAAGGGATGTTCGTGTAATTATGATCAATTTGCCTTCGGCTTTTTTTTTTTGTGAATTTTTTTCTTTTTATAATTTTTCTTCAAGAAGTTTTACACTTTTTAAGTTCTAGTTGACCAGAGGCCGGAAAAGATTTCTTTTTTTAAAAAAAGAAGTATGGAAAAAGTCCACTAAAAAAAAAGAGTACCACTTTTCTTTTTGTCTTTAGTGATTTTTTTTGAATTGTTTTTACTCTTTAAGTCCTTTTACACTAGATGGACCTAAAAAATTGACACAAATTGAAAAATAATAATAATAAAAAAAACTAAAAACAAGACAATTTAAAAATAAATAAATAAAAAAGATTGGAACTCATGACTTTTGATGTAAGAGGCATGTACCCGTAAGTCCATCTATGAGATCTCACTACAACATGAAAATTATGATTCAATTTTAAATAATGAATAGCAATCTCAATTAAACAATTAAAAATAAATCAATCCAACGATTTAACTTTAAAATATCATAATTAAACTCCTCTAACTATGATAAAAATCCATTGGCCAAATCTACAAAACAGTCCACTAAGAGGACAAAAAAGAATTACACACGGGAACTCTCAATTACCTAGCGAATTTACGGACTTGAACCGAACCTAATGTGCCTCTTCCACTGCCGTCTTCACCTCAGAATTGCTTTATCCAACGTTGAATCCACAACGATGAGCCACTCCAGAATCCACCAAAGCTAAGGCCATGTTCTTCAGAATCCGCCAATGAACACCTTTCTCCTTTTGTGAATGAAAGAACAAAATCAACCCTTGGTATTTGTCAAAATGTAATTTGTTGATCAATCAATCACCTTCTATATATCAACAAAACTCATATATAAACACCGTCTAATATAAAACACTTTGTATTTTACTCCTCTTTAAGAATCTGGACGATTCAACCCTAAAAATAGTAAATAACGCACTTTATACTAAATAGAGCCACGAAGGCCGCTCAAGTGCTCACTTTACTGCTCGAGCAATGTAACCAAAGGCGATACTCACATATAGGCCAACTGCTTGAACGCAATATCCACCACTTGAGCAATAAAACTTGTTTCCCAAAAGTTTAAAACGTAGGTAGAGATACTGGATGAACTACCTTATCGCTCGAGCTCACCAAAGATTGTTTGAGCAATTAATCCACTTTGACTTTTGTTTGAGCAATTAATCCACTTTGACTTTTTTCTTAGTCAGTGAAGAGGCAAATAAGGAGAGCTCAAAACAAATGTTAGAGCACAAACTCCTCTACTCAGGCACAACTCAAGTTGAATTTGCATCTACATTCTCATAACTCACAAATACAATAGAGCGAATAAAAATACAACTAAATAAAGTTTTGTCAAACAAGATTGCCAATTACAAAAACCTAACATAACAAATAAGAGTTTTAGGCATTATATTTTTGTCCCTGAAAAATTTGTTACAAAAAATATTTGGAGACCAATTCCGAACATCACGAGAATAGTCGCTAAAAGATCATTTTAAAAAGTCAAAGAAAAATGACTTTTAGCAACAATTTTTAAAATGTTGCTAATAAATGCATTTTTAGCAGGGGTGATCATGGATCCATCCAACCCCATTCACCCGCTCAACTCGACCCAACCTGGTTGATTTTGGGTGGATGCGTGTCTTTCAACGGATGAATGTGGATGAAATATTTTAAAATTTGCGGATACGGTTCGAATGGCGGATCAACCATCATGCACCCACATGAACCCGATCCGCCTATAGATGAAGTTCAAAAAGAAAAAGAAAAAAGAAATTGCTAATAAGTAATAACATAGAGTATAAACAATAAAATATATATTTTTGTGAAAATGAAAAACAATACCTTAAAAATATGCATATATGGTGCCATGGCTTATTAGAGACAAATAATACATATTTTTTCAGATTACTAGTTATTGGAGATTGTAAAAATAATGAATTATAATTCGAAAAAATGTCTAAAATTTGTAAAGTCCAAATCGCCAAACCGATTGCATCCATCCGCCAACCTACACAACCCGCTGAATCCGCATCTACCAAACTGGTAGACAAATGCAAATTGATTTTTTTCAATCCGCTTAATTTTGGATGAATGGTGGATGGAATGCCACTCGACTCAACCCGATCCGCAATCACCCCTAATTTTTAGGGACAAAGTAATTTGGTCCCTAAAAGGTTTGTTTTTTAGACAAAAATTTTAATCCTAAAATGATAGTAATTCTTGGCACATCCAATTTGTTTGCTAAAAATAGAATAATACACTTTTAACAACAAAAATATTTGATCCCCTAAAAATTGATTTTGTCCTTAAATTTGTAAAACTTTATTTTGTTGTCATTTCTCCATTATTTTTCTTGGGTTTAAATATGTTTTTTTAGATAATTTTTCTAGATATATATATATATATATATATATATATATATAATATTACTAATAAATTAGTGATTTTTTTTTTTCCCTCAGAACAAAATTTGTCTACATAACCCAACAACACCGCCATTGGCAAATTCTTCCACGACAAACAACACACACTTGGCAGAGCAGTTGCGATTTGGTTTCAGAGTATCAAATATTAGCCATTAAATTAATTAATTAAGATGGCAATTTTCCAAGGAATTCGGTTGCTTATAGTCATATTATTAGTACCGATGGCTGCAGCAGCTACAGTAGTTGGACTCGGAGGAGGAGCAGAAGAACAACATGCTGAGTGCCTACCAACAAGTTGCAGTAAACATGACAGCCCTGAAATCCGATTCCCTTTCCGGCTCAAAGGGCATCACCCCAAAAACTGTGGGTATCCTGGCTTTGATCTTTCTTGCACTCCTTCTAGCAAATACCCTGTCCTCGAGCTTCCATTTTGTGTCAATGTTTTTGTTAAGCATATTGACTACAAATCTCAGACCATAGATATATCTGACATAAATATATCTGACTCTGACCCCCATGGATGCTTCCCACGACAGCTTCCAAACCTTTACCTATCTGCCTCTCCCTTCCAATTCCAAATAAATCACTTCTTCTACGACTTTAGCTTCATCAATTGTTCCCAGACACAGGATCAAAATTGGATGTCTGGGTATCAGATTGCTTGCCTTAGTGACCAGAGTCACCAAGTTTATGCCACTTTGTCTGGCGAGTTGCTGGATATTTCTTGCACAAAGATGTATAACATGTCACTTCCATCTGAAATTCTTGATTATAGGTATGGCCTCATCACATTTGATGATCTTCGATTGAATTGGAGTAAACCGGAATGTGGGAAATGTGAAGCACGAGGCAAGAATTGTAGATTCAAGAATAACGACAACAGCAGTAGCAGCAAAAGCCAATTATTATTCAATGGATCAACTGAATGCTTTGACAAACCATCTATGGGTACACCTCTACTCTAGCTAGTTTCCACCTTCTTACTTCAAGTTACGATTATTATATTTTGTTTACCATCTTATCTCATCTGTAATTATTGCGTTGGCTTTACACTAATGATGTTGTCTTCCACCACAATTTTGAATTGAAATTCGGGCTGAGGTTCTCTCCAGTTTGGATCTGGAAATCCAATCCGAGTTTCGGATGTGCACAACGTCGGTAATTTTACAAATCAGTGGTTTAGATTTTGTTTACCTATTTAAAACTCAATAGTATATCCAAATAAAAAAATTTAATCCAACACCCTCGTGCTACAAGATCATTTTAGCTTCAATGCCCTTGTTTTGTTTTGATCTATTGAATTACCTAGTCTTGTTGATTGTGGGAGGATGATAAAGTCTTGCCATATAGATTAGGTTGTGTGGTTTTTTGTTAGAAGTTGTGCACCCAATGGAGCATGCGTTGAGGTCCAAACTTGATTTAAGCCTATGTTAATTGCTGATATAGTTGGACTAGCATATGAGGAGGTTTAACCCTATTTGGATATTTGATTGTATCATGTCAGTTTCTTTTACTTAGTTTATTATGAATCTACACGGTAATTTTTTTTAATTATATATATATATGGAATTTAAGAAATCTTCAAACTTTTACAGGTGCATTGACGAAACTAAAGATTGCAGGTGAAGTGGTCTATCCTCTCATAATTTCAATTGTAAACGAGGAGGTAGAAATTTACTAACATGGTCTATTATGATTGCAGGGGCAGTCCTAGGTCCGACTTTTCTTCTTGTAGTTGTCATTGCAATAAATCATGACTACAGATCAAACAAAATGAAGAAAGCAGATCAAGTAAAGATTGACAAATTTTTGGAGGATTACAAAGCTCTCAAGCCTGCAAGATATTCCTATGCAGATATCAAGAAAATAACAAATCAATTTCAGGACAAAGTAGGCCAAGGAGGTTACGGAATAGTGTACAAGGGCAAGCTTTCCAATGATGTTCATGTCGCGGTCAAGATCCTCAACAATGTGAAAGGAAATGGAGATGAGTTCATCAATGAAGTGCAAACAATGGGTAGAATCCACCATATCAACATGGTTCGCTTGGTGGGATATTGTGCTGACGGATTCAGAAGAGCTCTTCTTTACGAGTTCTTACCAAACAATTCGCTTGAAAAGTTTATATCCACTGATAAAGAGAAGAATTCACTTGGTTGGGAGAAGTTGCATGACATTGCTCTTGGCATAGCTAAAGGAATTGAATATCTTCACCTAGGGTGTGATCAACGAATCCTGCACTTCGATATTAAGCCTCACAATGTCTTGTTAGATAATAAGTTTACCCCGAAGATCTCTGATTTTGGTCTAGCAAAATTGTGTTCAAAGGAACAAAGCGCTGTTTCCATGACTACTGCTAGAGGGACTGTGGGTTACATTGCACCTGAAGTGTTCTCCAGGAACTTCGGGAATGTGTCATACAAATCAGATGTTTATAGTTTTGGAATGTTGTTGCTGGATATGGTTGGAGGGAGGCAAAATACGGTAGCACAAAACACGAGTGAGTGTTATTTTCCGGAATGGATATACAAACGTTTGGATCAAGGAGAAGATCTAGGAATACAAATTGAGGAAGACGGGGATGCGAAAATTATAAGGAAACTAACAATTGTGGGACTTTGGTGCATACAATGGTACCCAGTGGACCGACCATCGATGAAAGTTGTGGTACAAATGTTGGAAGGAAATGTAGACACTCTAACAGTCCCCCACAGTCCATTTGCCTCCACAAATCCAATGCCAACGAGGGGAACAATAGGTGGGAGCACTTTTAATAGTGAGTTAGAAGTAATTTCTGAATCTGAATGAGAGAATGAATTAGTAATTTTTTTCTAAGAAGTTGTTGACTATATAATAGGAATTAATCTTATTGTTCTCACCAATTTGTGTATAATTAAATGTTTATCAATGTATTACTGTAGCCTTTCAATACTACATCTTGTGCATTGCCTTTGTATTAATAGTCATCTTACAAATGGTGCACTTTGTATCAGAAAGATTTATGTTTACGTATCAACGTAGTATCAGAATGCATATCACCAATGGCCAATCTACAGTAAATCTAGAGAATGATTCAATCGCGAGCTCATCAAGGAAGGCAATGATGATGGGTTTGAAGTCTCCAATTTCAACCCTCATCAACAATCAAAATCAAAGAAAAAATGTCCTATATTTCAACAGAATGCTAAATATTGATTAAATAAAAAATTCTTAGAAATCAGAGCACCGACCAGTTTCTTTGTACACATCAAATTCGTCATCTTAATCATCAGAGACTCTGTAACCTCAGAACGAGCACAATATGCATCATCACCAAGCGTTCAATCGATGACGTCTGAGTCTTAAGGTCGGTCAAAAATGAGGTGTCTACAGTTAGGAATATCAATAAGGAGAAGTAAGAACCACTTAAATGAAGAAATCAATTGTCTATTAATTAGACTTATTTACTCATTAATTTTTAATTTTTTATTATTTTATTACAATAAAGATCCGGACCCCATTTTTTCTCACCCCTTGACCCCCTCTCTCTCTGATTGGAGGGGTTTTTTTTTTTTTTTTTTTTCCTTCTCCTCCAATCACCACCTGCCACGTGTGTATGGGGTGATGGGGGTGGTGATTGGAGGATGTCTCTATCAATGCTAATTTTACTTATATATTACCTCTTGTTTTAATAATAAGAAAATTTTGATTTTTTTTTTATATATTTCGTGTTTGTAAAATGATTATTTAATACTAATAAATTATAAATACTTATGAGATATTGACTTTCATTTGTGAGTTTTGATTTATTTTGATTTTATTTGTCTTAGTTTCTATGACATATGACTTGAAAAGTAATTGGTTGAATTGTATTTTGGATAATTTACATTTAAGACCCTTACACTTTTACGAAATCCTTGCTTTAGGCCGTCAATCGTAATAGTCAATCTTACTTTCACCCAAATCTCATTTTAGCCAATCGTAACAGTCAACTCGTATAATTTAAATCAAGTTTCATCTATCTACTGTTAATAGAGCTAATGAAAATTAAAAATGGAGGGACTAAAATGAGATTTTGATAAAAGTGTAATGATTAAAATGAGGTTTTAGTAAAAATGTAAGAGCAGTAATAAAAATGTCAGGTATGTTTCAAATGACAAATTTGGTCAACTTTGTGCGATAACTTTCAAAAGATTTATGTGCTATATATTTTTGGCTAAAAGGATAAATTACAATTATAGTCCTTAAAGTTTAATACATTTTTATTTAAATTCTTAAAGTTTCAATTTTGTCAATTATTCTAAAGTATTAATTTCGAATCAATTTAGTCCATAAGATAATATTAAAATAGAACATAAGCTTAAATGATAAATAAAATTATGACCCGGATTTTAATTTATTATTAACTTAATTATCCTCTACACGTATGGTTTTATAATTGGTATATTTCTTTCAAGCTAATTAATTCTAATTACTCCTTCTCCTTGTAGGGTAAACTACCAATAGGTCCTAATAGTTGGACTTAATTCTCATCAAGTCCTGTTGAAAATAAGTCTTGATAAATTGTCGCTAAAAATAATTTTTTTGTAACAATTTTTTACATATGTCGCTAAAAATTGACAATTAGTGATTTTTTTTTTATCATGATTTTTATAATTGTTGCTAAAACTTACAATTCATAACTTTTTTATGACAAATTTTTTCCATAGGACCTATTAGACAATAAATCTACTTATTAGGACCTACACGTCAGTACCCCCTTACTTATATAGGTCTTCTATTTCTGTTCTAATACGCAATTATCCATTTTATCTTATTTTTCGACTATTTCTAATATTATTTTATATTTCATTTCATTATATTTGTCTTATACCACCATTATTTATAATTCGTCTAAATTATAACGGTAAACTACTAATAGGTCATAATAGTTGGACTTAATTTTCATCAAATCTTATTGAAAATAAGTCCTAGTAAAATCGTCACTAAAAATATTTTTTTGTGATAAAAATTAACAATTACTGACTTTTTTTGTCATAATTTTTATAAATTGTCGCTAAGACTTATCATTAGTAACATTTTTCTATGATGAATTTTTCAAACTGTCGTTGAAAGTTGAAAATTAATGACTATTTTTGCAGCGATTTTTTTAAACTGTCACTAAAATTTATAATTAGTAATATTTTTTGTGACAATTTTTAAACCGTCACTGAAAATTAACAATTAATAACATTTTTTAATAGTATTTGATGAAAAATATCATTAATTATTATAATATCTATTATACAAATAAGTCTATTTATTATGACCTAAACGTAAGTCCCTCAAATTATAATTACTTAAATCAAATTTTTTTTTTCTTTCTTGGTGGTATTAATTCAAAACATTCCCTGGGAGAGTTCCTTGCAAGAATAAGGATAAGGATAATTATCTATATTATTTTCTACAAGAGCTAACTAATTACTTTTATCTAATAATAGATGTCAAACTTAATATATAATTTCTAATTGAATTTATTTAAGATTTTCATTAAATTCTTTTAATTACCCGATGATAGGAGTATTTTGTTCAATAATTATTTGTAGTGCAATACTATTATTTAAATTATTTTATTCAACTTCTTTAATCTATCTAATGCTCATATATTAATATGACAAAATTAAGAAATTAATCTCTGATATCAACTCTAAAATACAAGTGCAAAAGATAATTAAGTTAATAATAATTAAAGGGATATTTATCAATAAATCTCATCTCACAAACAAGTACTCCAATTAGTCCCAAGTTTTTTCTATTGATCTGTTAAATCCTATTAGTGGAGAGTTTATTTCTGTTTGGTCCTATTTTTTATTTTGATAGTGTTTTGGTGGACAACTATACCCTTTTATTAATGTGATAAGTATGATGTGATACTTCAATTTGACAGGTATTAATGTGGCACTCCAACGATGTGACATTTCAATGATGTGGCACTCCAAAAAAATTAAAAACTTCTTAGTGTATTTTTTCTAAATGTGACAACGTGACGGGTATGATGTGACACTCCAAAACTTTTACTCTAAAAAAAATAAAAATTTCTTAGTGTACTTTTTTCAAATGTGACAATGTGACGGGTATGATGTAACATTCTAAAAAAATTAAAAACTGCTTAGTATACTTTTCTCAAATGTGACAACATAGCGGGTATGATGTGACACTCTAAAAACAATTAAAAACTCCTTAATGTATTTTTTTCCAAACATGACAACGTGGCGGGTATGACGTAACACTCTAAAAAACTTAAAAAACTTTAGTGTACTTTTGCCAAATGTGGCTGGTATGATATGACACTATAAAAAAATTAAAAACTCTTTAATATACTTTTTACAAATGTGACACTCTAACATGACGGGTATAATGTAATACTAAAAAACTCTTTAATGTACTTTTTTCAAATGTGACACTCCAATGTGACGAGCAAATGAGTCATTACACATCCAAAAAGACTACATGGATCACAAGAAAAAATATAAGACTACATGGATTACAAGTCCAAAATATTGGACTATATGAATTGCACGTTCAAAATATGGGACTTATTGATCAATCTCCTTAAATTAAAATGTGGCCATATAATAATTTTATATAACCTTTGGGCATATATTTTATTTTTATATTATTTGTAAGACTAAATTAATTTGAATTTAATACTTAAATGACCTAATTGACAAAATTAAAATTTTAAGAAGTGAAACAAAAAAAAAATGTTAAACGTTAAGGACTATAATTAAAATTTATGCTTTTTAATGATATGATAAAGGACATCTTTAGTCCCTAGAATATGTGTTTTTCATTTTAATCCCTTAAATTTCAATTTTATGATTTTGATCCTTAAAGTTGTCAATTTGAGTCAATTTGATCCTAGGTTTAATGTTAGTTAACAGAAATATGAATAAAAGACAATTTTGGTCTATAAAGTATGAATTTCTTGTCATTTTAGCCCCTCAATTTTTAAATTTTATCATTTTAATCTTCAAAATTATCAATTTGAATCAATTTAATCATAGTTCATGTGTGGGTAATTTTCTGACCACATTGCCCACCTAGTAATCAGCTAGAGAGCACTGGCAGAATAGATGGCTTCAGCAAACCTGTAACAGAAAGAAAAGGCTCCGGCGGTGGCTCTTCCACCCAGAGGCACTCCGAAGATCAAGTCAGTATATCTCTCAAAGATAATCAAGTGCTAAACTCACTACTCAAAGTATAAAACTGCGTACCTTAGACCCACGGGGGTGCCTCTCTTTTATAGCCAACTCAATCCTAGTCCCACTAGAAGCATAACTTCTATGGACTCCCATTCAGTGCTTACTTTGGATTTCTCAAGAGATAAAGATAAACTCCCTAAGAGCTTTATCCTTATCTTTAGCAAAGTCCTCTCTTTACTCTGGGATTCTTTCCCCTTATCCATTATCCGCTTATCTCGGATTCCGATATCTTCAGAGGCAACCTCGGCCTAGCCGAGATAACCTCGGCGTCACGACCAGGGCACGTGGCACCTCGGTTGACACGTCGACGTCACCTTGCTACGTGTTGGTATTCAGAAAATATATCCCCACAACTGCCCCCTAGGTTCTATTACCTCGGCATTCTGAGGTGACGGAACCTATATCTGTATTGTCTTCTAGTACCTCGGCGTAAGAACTCTTCGGCCGGGATCATTCATGTCAGGCCGATATGTCTTGTTTTCAAGAACAAGAACTCAAATGAACTTTCCCACGCGCATAAGCTGTCACGCATCACTTCTCAACCGTTTCCTGCACACGTTTCATCTTTATTGGCCCGTGTCTGTGACACGCTTGTAAGCCGTCTTAATTTGTCTGCGCCGTCTGACACATGCGGTTTTCCAAGCGCAATAAATGCCTTATTTTGCCGCCGTTTCACGTTTTCAACAAAGACACTATCTTTGCTTTCGTCTTTTCACTTTGCGCTTAAGTTCTTTTGCTTTTTTCTCTCTCTAAAACTTTTTCTCTTGAATCCGCCATTGTCTCAA